TTTGGTTAAATGTCCATTTTACGGCGGGTGTCGGTACAGACGCTCTGGCACAGCGAGTTGCCTCCCGACGCGCAGGAGCTTGTCACCTGCTGACAGCAGGCTGCTGTCTTTTCCGTGGACTGCATCTTGCCGGTCATTATCACGTGACAGCGACTAGTCGATGACAGGCATAAAAAGTCACTATAGAGCAGTGAAGTCGACTAGTGACTAGTTCATACAACCCCGCTACTGCTCCCCAGAGTGTTCTGCAGCATAATCAGCACGTTCTCTTTGAACTTGATATCCAATTTTCGCCTCCTCTTCGTCTCCGCACGGTTAAAGTTACCCTCGCAGTCTATCACTGGCAAATCAAAAGTGAAACGGATGACACAACCACCCCCCGTACTTGCTTGTTACCACATTCCAACCTGGCCACAATAAAAAACCGGCCATTATTCACCTCTGCCGACTCCGACACCGGCCAAAATATGATACCCGGCCGTTAATTAAATACAGGCTAATATTAGAGAATATGCTGAAGAGGAAGAAGGTAGAGGAAGAGCAGAGGCCCCAGCACAGAACCTTGTGGGACACCATGAGTGAGGGAGGTGGAGGACCTAAACTTGGAGACGGCCACAGAGAAGGAACGCTCAGAAAGATAAGAGGAGAGCCACTCCAGAGCAGATCCTGATAGGTCTACCCAGTCTCTCAACCTCTCCAGTAGCAGGTGATGGTCAACAGTGTCAAAGGCTGCAGTCAGGTCCAGCAGGACCAGAACAGAACAGTCCCCTGCATCACTGTGAGTCAGAAGGTCATTAGAGACCCTAAGAAGAGCTGTTTCAGTAGAATGAGCTCTACGAAAACTTGACTGTAAGCAATCATAGATGGTATGTTAATCAAGAGCAGCTGTGAGTTGTTTAGCAACAACCTTTTCCAAGATCTTGGAGATGAACGGAAGTTTAGAGATGGGTCTGAAGATGCTATGAAGAGAGGGGTCGAGACTCGTTTTTTTATGAAGCGGATGGATTACAGCGTTCTTAAAGTAAGCAGGGACCTGGCCAGAGACCAGAGAAGCATTAATTATAGAGAGCACGCTGGGACTGACCGACTGAAAAGCACTTTTAAACAAAGATGAGGGTAAGATGTGGAGGGGGCATGCAGAGGTCTTCATAGAGTTAACTAGTTTGGTTAACTCAGGCAAAGAAACAGGAGCAAAGCTATC